GAAAGGATGGTTCTCGAGGGCGTGGTACAAACATGATGGGCCGAATGGCTGCCTCCTGTGCTGTGAATTTCTATGGTTCTATGCAATGCTATTTCTATAATAATAATAATCCTTGTATTTGATATAGCGCTTTTCACATCTCCTCGATGTCTCAAAGCACTTCACAGAATATGCTGTAAAGTGAATTGACTGTATATTTATGGGCAAAACGCGGCAGCCAATTGCGCACCATATTTCTATGGTACTAAGCATTTACACCATTCTCTCAAATGCAGTTGGGGTCTCAGATCGTCCTTTGGATTAGACGTTAAACTGTTTGCCTGTTCAGGTGGACATTAAAGATCTTGTGGCACTATTGAAAAAGAGAAAGGAGTTTGTCTTTCCTGGTGTCCTAGTCAACAATACCCCAGATAAAATTGATTATTCTGGGGTACTGTTGCCTTGTGGCAGGTGAACTTCAGTCACACCTCTCCCTCCACTCCCTCCTCGAGCCCCTGCAGTCTGGTTTTTGCCCTACCCACAGCACAGAGACAGCGCATGTCAAAGTCACAAACAACGTCCTCTCTATTTGTGACCAGGGCTCTCTCTGCCTCCTCGTCCTCCTGGATCTCTTTGCAGTGTTCAACACAGTCGACCACGCCATCCTCCTCCACTACCTTCCCTCCCTCATCCACTTTAGTGGGACCGTACTCACATGGTTCGAGTCCTACTTAACCAACCACCTCCATTTCATTTCAGCAAATGGTTTCTCCTCCCGCTCCCACCCGGTCAACTGCAGGGTACCCCATCCTTGGCCCTCTTTTCCTTATCCATACGCTCCCTCTGGGCGATATCATCCGCTGACCCGGGGTAAACTTCCACATGTATGCGGATGACACACAAATCTACTTTGCCTCCTCCAGTACCAACTCCAGGTCTGCCGATATTCTATCAGCTTGTCTGGCAGACATCAGGGCCTAAATGAGTCCAAATGTCCTGCAGCTGAATGTGGACAAGGCGGAAGCCATACTCCTTGCCTCCCGTCAATATCTTCACTTCTGTGGAACTGAACTCAACCTCCCTGGGCTCTCCTTCAGACTCACTGAACCAGTGTGTAATTTAGGCGTCCGGTTCGACCCCCAGCTGTCCTTCCCCCCTCACATCCGGTCCCTGACCAGGACCGCCTTCTTCCACCCCCGCCACATTGCCCGCCTCCGACCGTACCTTTCCCCAAATGCAGCCAAAACCCTCATGCACACATTTGTCACCTCCCGCCTGGATTACTCCAACGCACTCCTCACTAGTCTCCCCAGCTGCACCATTCAAAAGATCCAGATCATTCAAACTCTGCTGCCCTCATACTGACCCGACCAACCTCCGTACCCACATCTCACCAGTTCTAGCCAGGCTCCACTGGCTCCCCATCAACGAATGGATCGACTTCAAGGTCCTCGCACTCGTATTCAAATCACTTCACTCCCTGTTACCTCCCAAACTCGCCGACCTCCTCATTCCTCAATCTACCACCCTGCGCTTCCACTTGACTGGCATCTGCCTCCTACTCGTCCCTTGCACCCTCCGCCCCACCATCGGAGGTCACACTTTCAGCCACTACACCCTGAAACTCTGGAACACTTTTCCTCAATCCCTCCGCCTTGCCCCCTCTCTCCCCTTTTTCAAGTCCTGCCTGAAAACCTTCCTCTTCTATCGTTCTTATGGCCACCTCCCCCTCCCCCCTCTGGCTTAGAGTCAGGCTCTGCCACTGTTAAGCGCTCTGAGATGCTACCCTGTGTGGAGAGTGCTATGTAAAATGCAAGTTGTTGTTGTTGTTATTCACTTCATGGCTGTTTGTAGGATGGCTCTGGGCAAATTGACTGACGCATTTAACTATGAAAAACACAGTCACTACACTTGATAGTGAAACCAGAAATATTCTCCTGACATGAAAGGCGCTGTATCAAATGCAAGGATTTATTATTATAACAATGTGTTTTAATACAAGACTTCATGCCCAAACTTAGAGCAAGTGATTCACCATCACAGGAAAAGGGGACACAGACTGGATACCAGAAGCTAGTAAAAAATGTTTGTCGGACACTGCTGTGCACAACTGACTGCCGAGTTTCATCCACAAAATACACAGTCAATCCACTTTACAGTATCCTGTGAACATAGGAACAGGAGTAGGCCATTCAGCCCCTTGAGACTATTCCATCATTCTATAAGATCACGGCTGATCTGTACCTCAACTCCAATTACCTGCCTTTGCCCCATATCCCTTGATACCCTGACCTAACAAACATCTATTCACATCAGTCTTGAAAATTTGAATTGATCCAGCATCCACAGCCCTTTGGGGGAGAAAGTTCCAGATTTCCACTAGATTTTGGGTGAAAAACTGCCTCCTGATTTTACTCCTGAATGGCTTAGCTCTAACTTTAAGATGATTCCCCCTTGTTCCAGATTCCCCACCAAAGGAAATAGTTTCTCTGTAGCTACCTTATCAAATCCCTTTAACATTTTAAAATCCTCAATGAGATCACCCCTCAATCTTCTAATCTCAAGGGAATAGAGACCAAGTTTATGCAAACTGTCCTTATAATTTAACTCTTTTAGTCCTGGTATCATTCTGTGAATCTGCGCTGCACCCCCTCCAGAACCAATACATCCTACTGAGGTGCGATGCCCAAAACGCAGTACTCCAGATAGGGTCTGACCAAGGCTCTGTATAGTTGAAGCATCATTTCCTCTCCTTCATATTCTCGCCCCCTTGAGATAAAGACCAACATCCCATCAGCCTTTTTGATAACTTTTTGTATCTGTGAGCTTGTTTTTAGTGATTTGTATACGTGGACACACAAATCCCTTTACTTCACCACCGTCCTTAGTTTCTCACCATTCAGAAAATAGAAATTATTTTGTTTTGCTTTGAAATGTCTCAACAACCTGATAAAGCACTATATCAAATTTAAGTATTATTATTATTATTTGGACAGCCATTTGCAGGAAGATCTATATTCCCCCGCCCACTCTCTTTCCTTTAATTGTCATTCCCCCTACCCCTCCCCCCACTCTGCATAGAGTTCAGCTGGGCCCTGTCCAGCCCCTGAGGCATCATTAGAGAACTGGCTGTATGCCTGTCCCAGCGATCACCCTGCAAATTCCTCTTCACACCTTCCCCTATGAGGGAGAGAAGTGATTAGCAGCGACAAATCAGGCATCTGTTTCCCTAACAGTGGTGTCTCTCGCCCAGGAGCTTGACAATGCCTTAAGCTCCACAGGTCTTCACTGGCTTCCTATGCCTCCCCAGCTGGGACCCCAGCAACATTTGTTCAGCTCCGAGACCGATTGACAAGATTGACTTTGAAAGCCTCGGTACATCAGAGCTCACAGAGAGAGAGTGTCTGACCAGTGCTACACGGGACTTAAGTTGCAAAGGACAGCACAAGACTGCTTCCCAGGGAGATGAATTGTGAGCAACGGTTTCACAAGCCAAGGCTCATCAGCGTAGAGGGAGAGATCTCAGTGAGGATCTTATAGAGTTGTATAAGATGTTATAAGCAAAATCCTTGCATTTGTTATAGTACCTTATCACGTCATTGAGATGTCTCAAAGCGCTTCACAGAATAAATTGTAAAATGGATTATGTATTTGTGAGTGAAATGCAGCAGACAATTGCACACAGCAGTATCACACAAACAGTCATGGATTGAGTGACGAAACTTTTTATCATTGTCCTCGGAAAGCGATCCGCCAATCGCCTAACAACATGATTCTTACTTACTGCTAGGTAAATAGAGGCGTGTGGAGTAAGGAGACTTACCTAAAGTTTCGCCCTGCCCGGGAATAGAACTCTAGTCCTCTTACTTGCAAGGCGAGTGCTCTAACCATTTACTAAGTTACTGAGGACATTGATTGCTTGGGCCCAGATAAGCACTGTTGAGTTCCTCATTCCTCATTATGGTGCAAAGGGACCAACAGGAAGGACTGCTCTCCAGTACCAGAGAGATGAACTGTGAGCAACAGTTACACAAGCCAGGGTTCTCAGCCTACAGAGAAGTCTCAGTGAGAACCTAAAAAAGTCATTACACAGTCATTATACCTTACACATTTATATTGTATCCTTCAAGTCCCAGCACCTTGAGACTTCCTTCCGATGTGAAAGGCATAAATGAATTATAAATGTAATTTGTTGTTGTTCATTCCTTTCTCTCACTGACTAGCCTATGGGACTCGTATTACATATGCCACGCTGGTCCACTCCTCCGCAGACGATCATTCCCACCAAGTTTCCGGGGGCATTTGAATGGAAGCCGGGTGTGTGGCTGACCTGTGGTGCAGCTGCTGTGTGCCCCTCCCCCCCACCAGGCCACCCCCTTCGTGACTCCAGGGAGAGGCTAAAGGCAGCACTCAGGTGCGGAGGGGATCAGGTGTCAGGTCTGGGGCCCAACACTAGAGCCGCGAATTAGAAGAATGTAAACATGTGTGCTGGGTGCGGAAGGCGCTGCAGGTGTGGTTGTGCCCTTGGCTGTAAACACTGCTTTCCCCACAAGGCTGTAAACCCCATTCATGGTTCTAAACTCTTCAAAGCTCTTAACTGCTGGACACCCGCAATCTGCCTCCAGTCTCACTGTAGCTCAGCCGCTCACGCTCTCGTCTCCGAGTCAGGAGGTTGTGCCTACAAGCTCCATGTCGGGGACTCTGAGCTCGCAGTCCAGGCTAAGGCTTCAGTGCAGCGCTGGTGGGGAGAGCGCTGCATTGTCGAAGGTGCCGTCCTGCGGATGAGATTTATTAAAACCGATGTCCTGTCTGCCTGTTAAAGAACCATTTGAGTTTCTGCCAGTGTCCTTCTGAAAAACACGCCCTCACCCTGTGACTACACAGCGACTTCCAACATTTACACACGGTTTGCAGAACTTGTTAAAGGCTCCATTGGGGCAGTCATTTGGGTATTAACCCAGGACTTACGGAGTGAATGGGTGGGAGGGGCAGCAATGTTTCACCGCCCTGAGTTCACTGACCTCTGACATCTGTGGAAAGAGAGAGATGGCGACAGGCAGTGCGAGTCCGAAGGCAACCAGGCAGACAAGACTCTGTATGGGGAGGCTCAGCTTGGGCCGCGACCTCACCAGCGACGTCCTGGATGGAAAAACAAGGACGCTTGTGAGTATTTTATTCCGCACTAAACTTCGTGAGCCCATCACCCCCATCGTCCCCCGGCTCCCCTGGTTCCTCATCCCCCAGAGGATCAAGTTTAAAATCCTTATCCTCAGCTTTAAAGCCCTCTGCAATCTTATTCCTCCCTGCCTCTGTAACGTGCTAAAACCTCCTGTCCGCTCCCTTCGCTCGGAGAAAACTGACCTGCTCCATGCCCCATGCAAACCCTTGACTGTTGAGCACCTTGGGACATCCTTGCAATGTGAAAGGTGCAATATAAATACAATTTGTTGTTGTTTTGAAATATAATTAATTTTAAACTCTCCACCCATAGTTGAGGTATTAAACCAAGGAGAAACTCCCTTCTCTTTCCCTAAAGCATCACAAGATCTTTAATGACCGCCTAAACAGGCACAGACAGGCCTCAGTTTAATGTCTCATCCAAAGGACTGCGTCTCTAACAATGTAGCACTCTCTCCCCCCAGCACTGCACTGAAGCGTCAGCCTGGACTATGAGCTCAATTGCATAGAATGAGACAGCAAAGAAACACGTCAGACTCTGCCAGTGTTTATAATCCCCCAAAACAGGCTGGACAAAGGTAGGCTTGACCCAAGCCCTTCCCCTTTCCCTCATTTAGTTCATTTTTTGTACTTTAACCACAAGTTCAGCAGTGAGTTCCACATTCTCATCATCCTCTGTGTGTGTATGTATGTATGTATGTATGTATGTATGTATGTATGTATGTGTGGGAGGGGACCGGGTAGAGAATCCACACCCTCCCAGGAAAGTCCAATAATAACATTACGGAGTTCTGCAGTGTAGTGGTTAGAGCACTCGCCTCGCAAGCGAAAGGATCCTGATTGAATTCCCAGGCAGGGTGAAACTTTAGGCAGTTTCCTTATCACACGTCTGTTTACCTAGCAGTAAGTAGGAACCTGATTGTTAGTTGATTGGTGGATCGCTTTCCAGTGGTAATAATACCATTTTTTAAAAAAAAATTGGTTCACTCAATCCAGGATGAATTGTGGGTCATTGCTGTGTGCAATTGTCTGCTGCATTTCACCCACAAAATATACAGTCAATTCACTTTGTAGTATATTCTGTGAAGCGCTTTGAGCAGTCTCAGCAACATCATAAGACTCTGTATCAAATGCAAGGATTATTATTATTATTAAGCTAAAGCCATGTCCATGCACCCGAGGACAGTGACTCCACTCAGTTGTCCATTTATTTACAGGCTGGTACAAAACAGGTCTTACACAGAGTATTTCCATAACAGCTCAGGTTGAACACAGTGAAAATGGAGATTGAGACCTGCTGTCACTGAACTAAAGCGTGTTGGTGATGGGAGGTGTGAATCTCCTCCCCAGGTCGGACACCTCCAGTGACTCGGGCTCTTCACCTCTGCTCTCATTAACAAACTAATTAACACGAGCACGGTGCAACCTTAATTGGAACTCATGTATTTTATTAAAACACTGAATACAAAAGGGTTCACACTAATTCCCAAGTCTCCTAACCCTGAAATCCAGCTCCCCGTCTGTGCATGTTCAGGTGGACTTTAAAAATCCCGTGGTGCTATTGGAAAAGAGAAGGGAGTTTCTCTCTCACTGTGTCCTGGCCAATAATGCGCCAGATAAAATCATTAATTTCATGGCTGTTTGCGAGCTGTTGCTGTGTTAAAACTGGCTGCAAAAATAAGCAGTCATTACACTTTACAGGAATCAATGTTTGGATGTGAATGATTAATAATACTCCTTGGATTTGATCCTTAAGCCTCATCACCAGGAGAAACATCTCAAAGCTCTTTGCAGGATGTACTGTAAAGAACAGTGACTGTATTTCATAGGTGAACACAGCAGCCAAATAGCATTCAGCACTGTTTCACAAACAGCTGGAAAGTGAATGACCAATTTATTTCTGTGGGATTGTTAGCTAGGACATCAGGAGACACTCTTTTCAAATTGTGCCATGGGATAATAATCCCTCCAAAACCAAAAACAATAATAAATTGGTCATTTTCAATCTACGACTGTTTGTGGGACATTGCTGTGCGCAATTGGCTGCCGCGTTCACCCACAAATATACAGTCAATTCACTTTACAGTGTGTTCTGTGAAGCGCTTTGGGACATCCTCCCGACATGAAAAGCGCTATATCAAATGCAAGGATTATTATTATCTTTAACAGAATAATAATCCTTGCATTTGATATAGCATCGTCGAAAAGTTTCAAAGCGCTTTACACTGTAAAGTGGAGTGACTGCAAAATATCGACCTGAACAGATACAGAAGGAACCTCGGTTTAACATCTCACCTGAAGGAGAGCACCTCAGATAAAGCAGCTTTCCTGAGGTTTTCAGATGGGTTTTGCAATCCGAGAGGGAGGGAGTGATCTGGGGGTATTTAGGAAGTATTTGGGAAGACTGTAAACCTTCCTCTTCGACCATGCTTACGGCCACCTCCACCCCGGCTTGGAGTTAGGCTTCGGCCCTGTTAAGCGCTCTGAGACTCTACCCTGCATGGAGGGCGCTATAGAAGTGCAAGTTGTTGTTGTTGTTAGTCAATTGGCGTTTCGCTTTCTGGGGTTAACAATCCTACTAATTATTCAATCCATTATACAGTATATTCTGTGAAGCGCTTTGAGAAGTCTCAACGATGTAATAAGGCGCTATATCAAATGCAAGGATTATTTTGATTATTATTATAATTAACTCTCTTGTGCCTCTCTCAGTGGCTTCTGTGTGTGATGTGAAAGAGCCCTGAAAGTTCTGATGTCAGGCTATGGCGGTGTTTCACACCCAAAAACCGATCAAGAAATATCTCCTGACACTCAAGTATGTAAGAAATCCCAGGTTACAATTGTTTTCACATTGAAAGCATTACAAAAACTGCCCTTTTTTTCCCAGCCCAAATCCCAACAGAAATTATGATTTGAGGAGAGCAGAAGGCAGAGTGATTATTGCATTAGCTTCTGATGAGATTATGTAACCAAAAGCGCCCATGTTTTGGAAACATTGGTTTCTTTACAATAATAATCTTTGCATTTAATATCGTGCCTTTCATGTCCGGAGGGCGTCTCAAAATGCTTCACAGGAATTACCCAAAAGTGCAATGACTGGGTATTTTGTGGGCAAACACGGCAGCCAATTTGTGTATAACTGTCCTCCCGACGGGAAAAGGCGCTAAACAAATGTAATTTTGTACTGTATTGGTGTGTCACCCTGGACTGTGAGCTCAAGATCAATACGTGGGGCTTGAACCTTCTGACTGAGGCGAGAGCGCTACCCTTGAGCCACCTTTACTGTAATGCCCACATTGCATTGGGAGAAGAACAGAATATTGCAGCATAGGCTGTGTGGCCACCTGGCTCTCTGAGAGCACTATCCCTCAATTCTGCTCCCATCCCAAACCTTTTGTACATTCTTCGGAAAGATTTGACCAGGTTTGTTCATATGGAATACACGAATAGCTGGCGGCCTGTTTAGTAAAGTGCGGGCCGTGTTTATGACAGCTCAGAGCCTAGGAACACCTTGCACTGGTTGACAGTGATAACACAACCAGGCTGCTAAAGACCATTTGTACCTCATTAGGTAAGGCCACTCTGTGGTAATGAGTGTTGAACCTTAGCTTACGTCTGATCTCTTTAACAGAGGAGGGATTATTACCTCCGGAAAAGCGATCCACCAATTGACTAACAATCCGGTTCCTATTTACTGCTAGGTAAACAGAGCCGTGTGGAGTAAGGAAACTTGCTTGAGGTTTAGCCCTGCCTGGGAATCAAACTCAGGGCCTCTCGCTTGTGTGACCTCCCCGGGCAACCAAAATAAAAGACGGCCACAGCACACAGTCAAGGGCAACGGAGTCATGACCCTGCGGGGTGGGGGGTGGAGTGGCAGAGCATCACGCAGGGTGTGATTCCATCGTGGTGTGAGAGTCAACTAACCTCTCCTTACCACTCACTGTAATATCACACCAGCACTAACCTCTCACTCTGATATCACACCAGCACTGACCTCTCACTCAGATACCACACCAGCACTAACCTCTCACTCTGATATCACACCAGCACTGACCTCTCACTCTGATACCACACCAGCACTAACCTCTCACTCTGATATCACACCAGCACTAACCTCTCACTCTGATATCACACCAGCACTGACCTCTCACTCAGATACCACACCAGCACTAACCTCTCACTCTGATATCACACCAGCACTGACCTCTCACTCTGATATCACACCAGCACTGACCTCTCACTCTGATATCACATCAGCACTGACCTCTCACTCTGATACCACACCAGCACTAACCTCTCACTCTGATATCACACCAGCACTGACCTCTCACTCTGATATCACATCAGCACTGACCTATCACTGTGATATTACACCAACACTGACCTCTCACTTTGATATTACACCAACACTGACCTCTCACTGTGATATCACACCAGCGCTAACCTCTCACTGTGTTATCACACCAGCGCTAACCTCTCACTGTGTTATCACACCAGCGCTAACCTCTCACTGTGTTATCACACCAAGACTAACCTCTCCAGCAGGGACATCAGGATTGGAGGAATGACCAGGACAGGGATAGGAAGGACCACCCTGGTCAGGGCTGTCTCCATCAGTGCCTGCAACAAAATAATCATTTCCAGCTCAGTCTCGAACAGAGAAACACAGAAAGACAGATACAGATAATAATAATCCTTGCATTTGATACAATGCCTTATCACGTCGTTGAGATGTCTCAAAGCACTTTACAAGATATACATTGATGTGGAGTCCTGTAGCTTAGTGGTTAGAGCACTCACCTCACAAGTGAGAGAACCTGGGTTTGATTTCCGGGCAGGGCTAAACCTCAGGCAAATTTCCTCACTCCACACACCTCTATTTACTTAGCAGTAAATAGGAACCAGATTGTTAATCGATTGGAAGTAATAATCCCTCCTTCCACCCCAAAATAAAATAATTTGGTCACTCAATCCACGACTATTTGTGGGACACTGCTGTGCGCAATTGGCTGGCACCAACAAAATACACAGTCAATTCACTTCATAGTATATTCTGTGAAATGCTTTGAGACATCTCGAAGACGTGATAAGGTGCTATATCAAATGCAAGGATTATTATATATAGATTACTGTAAAGATACACCAAAGGTAGGGTAGAACCAGTCAGAGTGGGTGGAAGATGCTACCTCTACACTGTGTATCCAAAAGGTCAGCAACTGCATGGATTAAAGCTCCCTCTACTCTGTCCATCCAGCACTCCCAAATCAGCAAGGCTTAGAGTCAGAGTAAAGCGCCCTCTACAGGGTGTTCACAAAGTCCTGTTACCCCCATGTATTTTTCTGCAGTGCACTGACCAACAGCTGAAACATGTGGAAACACTGTGATAATTGTATTTAGAAGTACTTAATTGTATTCAGTGTTTAACTACATTTAGACGTCCAGAGGATCGGTGTGTGAGTGAGGATTTTCATGGCAGATAATGATCACTCCTCAGAGTGGGGGTGATTGGGGGGAGGTAAGTGTTGATATTGCTTTAAGATGCGACATCTTCTGCAACATGAATGGAGTGAGGAGGTGAAATACATCTCTGACAGCTTGTTTCAGCTTGTCCGTAGTCTCACATCACTGTTTTGTAACAGGGGGTAACAGGACTTTGTGGATACTCTCTGTCCAGGCCAGCGACAGCATGGGCTAGAGACAGAGTGATGCTTTCTCTACACTGTCCGTCCACACTGCTAGGTCAGTGACAGATAAAGAGTAAAGCTCGCTGTGGCAATCAGTGAAGCACTGGGATAGACTGAAATACTTACATGGCTTGCAGCAATCTTGGATGAACCGACGAATTTCCCTTCTTCGTCAAGCACGGAGATCCCTTCGATGAGCTCACTATGCCTCATCAGGACCACATTGCAGATATTTGCACTGGCTGTGGGCAACAGAACAAACATAGGTCAGTAACACATCCACATAACGGCAACTGTGTTCACTACTACCATGTTACACTGGGCTGCTATTCTCTATGATACACACAGGGGCTCCATAACACTATTTTGTTGGCAATTACCTGTTTCACACTGGGGTACATTGCCTGTGGTCTATGTTCGGAGTGACCTCAATAGCTTTGTGTTGTGCTTCTGATGGCTCATCCATCCACTGCTGCCCTCTATCCTTTACCCTGAAACCTGATCTCCTGCAGGGTGAAAGACATATCCTATTCCTGTTTTGAAGCATCACATCAATAAAGATTTTGCAACAGAAAAGGAAACCAGCCCCATTAATATAGGAATCATCACAGATCCACCAACTAGTGACTATCCTCAGAGTGGGGGTGGTGAGTGGGGAGGTAAATGTTGCATATTGCTTTAAGGTTAAATTGGCAATTGGAGATTGACAATGAAAAGCAAGTAGGAAGCATAAAAGGATTCTGGGAAAGTGACTGGGCAGAGTGTTCAGGAGTGTAAGGTTGAAATAAAGGAACTATTGAATTTAAACTGTCTTGTGGATTGACAAATAATACAGTAAGCAGCCTTTCCTTGAAGTTGAACTGGCTCCCAGTTGACCTGCTTGGCAATGCAATGTCAAGTTTGAGTCAACCCTCGGTGGTTGTCTCAGTAGTGAGGTACCTGAGCCATGCAGACCTGGTGGAGTTTAACAAACTACAACCGCAGTTTGCCATCAAAAGCCACTGGAGAGCTTCCCACTGCTTTCCCAGTTTACCCTGGGGTCTCCAAGCCTTGGCTCTTGCCAACCTGTGCCTAGTACTCTCCGGAATTAGGTAAGTAGGTTGCATCCCTCCAGGGAGAGAATGCATATTCCTTTTCAGACACAAGAATTTCTATGTGGGTCTTTAAGTCTGAATTGGAGGCTCTTAATCACAGTTTTCACATGCATCAGTCATCCAGCTGACCAAACACCACCAAAAAGAGAGAACCTTTGTTCTTATACACTATAAACTCACATAAGTCATATCAGTCAGGACTATAACATTTCATATGACTTACGCGAAGTCTGAGTTGCAGGCAAACTTATATAAGATGTATAAAATCTGATTTAATCAATAATCAACATTGTGCATGTGTACTTCACTGCAGCTGGTAAGTGTGCAGGTGACGGGTCAAGTCTACATTTCTCACAATTGAATGCGTCTTGACATGTGTACTTATTGGCAAGGGTTGGAATCGCTGGAAATAAAGTTCCTCAGCGCATGCATTGATGGATCAAAACTAAATTTCTCACAATTCAATGCAGCTGGTAAATTCTGGAGAAATGGAGGGTGGAGGAACAAAGTTAGGTGATAAATGATTGGTGCAAAGAAATTTAACTGAATGTATGACTTAGGCCAGTGTTATCCAGCAGGTGGCCCACAACTGGCCCAATGGATGATTTTGTCTGGCCCACAAACAATTTTCGACCTCACTGCTTTACCTCCTGGCTCCGCCTCTCTTCTGGCAAGTCTCCACAAGGCAGAGTGGAGAGTGACAGGAAGGGGCAGAGGCAGAGAGGGGGAGTCACGTTTCATGCTGCCTCAAGCCTTGTGTAACTTGGGGAGACGCAGTAAGCAGCAGCAGGAGTATTTTGCAATTCTAAAACAACAGGACTAGGAGTCTCAGTAGAAAACGCAAGGTAGATATGGAAAGTAGAGGATTTCAGTGCAAGTGGGAAGTGGATTATTTGTTTATTGAAAGTAATGGAAAACCTCAGTGTCTTGTTTGCTTGCAAGTCATATCCGTGTTGAAGGAGTTCAGCGTTAGTTATGCAATTATGGATTTAATTTGTTTTGGTTTGTTGAGCATTCTCTCTAGGGGCCTCTATATGCTGAGTTAATATCTTGTGTTTTGACTTTAATGCATTAAAACATTTGATGCATATATTTCCATTTGAGATGATCATTATAAAGTAATATAGTCACACAATTTAAAACATAGGATGATGTAAAATTATTTTATGTTTCTACAAAGGAAAAATCAAAATATTGTTTATGCAGCCCGTGAACATTTCTCAAATGTGGCATCCAGCCCACAACATCCAAAAGATTGGACCACCCTTTTGGGTGTTGATTTTACAATTTATAAAGATATGACTTGTGTGAGTTTTACTCTATCATCCAGGTTCTAGAACTCTGCCTTGATGCTCGCTCTCCCTTCAACATCTTTGGACAATATCCTCTCCCCCTTCCCCTCCTCCGAGTAACCATTGATCAGATGGCCCAGGGATCTCCAGAACTCAGAGATGTCTCAGAGGGGATTACCGACTGGAACAGGTTACCAGGAAGAGTAGTTGAAACAAGAACACTGGACTCATTTAAAAACTAGTCCAGCTTGATACTGTGATGGTTGGTGGGGGGGGGGGGGGGTAACGGTAGGGTGGGTGTTCTGAAGGATGAGATCAGATGGGCTGGGGTCTTCTTCATCCAAACCTTTCTCGTGAGCTCCATCATCACTGTGAAGCACTTCACAACACTAACTTCCATTTGCAGTGTCCTTTATAAGTGTAGATAATCTTGGAGGACCAGGACAATCCCAGGCTCCTATTCTCCACCACTAATCACTAATCATAGTCCACCTTCCCGTGCCTCGCCCATCCTCTCCTCCAATTCCAACTGTGAGATGTTGAACTTTCTCGAATCCAAAATTGAGGGGATTCATTCGGCTACCTCTCCTCCGTCCCCCTCGCCACCTCCCCCTCATGCCAAGGCCCCCACCTATCTCTCCCTGTACACCTTCGACCCTGCCTCCCCCAGTTTCCTCACCTCCATCATTTCAAAAATGCTCCCTTGAACCCATCCCCACCTCCCAGCTCCACCTCCTGGCACCTCTTTTAACTGCATTATCAACCTCTTGTTATCCACTGGCACTGTTCTCACTCCCCTAAAACAGCTGTCCTCACCCCCATCCACAAAACTCTTTCTTGGACTCTCCAGCTATCACCCCATCTCCAACCTCCCTTTCCTCTTCCAGGCCCTGCAACGAATCGTCGTGTCTTAGCTTCGTTCTTTCCTCTCCCACCATTCCCTCATTGAAACCCTCCAATCGGGTTTCTGCACTGCCCACAGCACAGAAACATCCCTGGTCAAAGTCACTAACAACATTCTGAACATCTGCGACCTGGGCTCTCTCTACCTCCTTGTCCTCCTCGATCTCTGCTACTTCGACATTGTCGACTGCAGTGTCAGTAGGATCACTGCTGTTCTCAGACTGCCCGTCGGACATCAACTCCTGGATAAGAGCTAACTTCCTGCAGTTGTCCCCTCATTAACCAACAAGTCCCTCACAATCCATGACCACACCGTCGAGGAAAATATCGACATCCTCGCCCTCACCAAAACCTGGGTCACCCCAGGCGACACCTTCCCACTAGTTGAGGCCATACCTCCAGGTTACTCCTTACACCAAACCCCACGGCCTAATTGCTGTGGCGGTGGTGTGGCTCTCATCTCCCGGTCCCGCCTTGGCCTTTCCCCTTACTCCTCAGGAATTCTCCCCTCCTTCGAACACCTTACCCTCTACCACCCCTCCAGGCTCTCCCTCAAAATCCTCCTTGTCTACTGTCCATCCAAGCCTTCCCCCACCTTCCTCTCGGACATCTCCACCCTCCTATCTTCCCTCTCCCTCTGCTCTGAACGCCTCCTAATCCCTGGCGACTTCAACCTCCAATTCACCCCCTCCTGCTCTACCTCTGCCGACTTCTCCCTCCTCTCTTCCCTTAACTTCTCCCTTCTCATCCACTCTCTCACCAACGTCCATGGCCACCCCGTTGACCTGGTGATCACCCGGGGCCTCGCCGTCTTGGACATCACCATCATCGATAAAGCCATCTCGGACCACCACTTCCATCTCCCTCAACACCTCCATCCCCCTTCCCTTTTCTCAACCCTCCATCATCACATATTGTCCATGGAAAAAAATTTCCTCCCTCTCCACTTCCCTGGAGTCATCTGAACTCCGGCACCTCTGGCCCTCCCTGACCGATTTCCCCTCCTCACTCACTTTTCTCCACAACTCCCTCTCCTCCATTCTGGACTCCCTTGCCCCTCTCACCTCCCGAACTACCTCATGCTCCCGTAAATCCCCCTGGTACACCAGCCATCTCCGTTCCCTCAAGGCACAAGTGCGAGCTGACGAATGCGCCTGGACCAATTCCAAACTAACGGTCCATCGGCAGATCTGGCTCCACCACACCAAGATCTACCACTGCGCTCTTACCTCCGCCAAATTCTCCTTCTACTCCAAGGTTATCTTGGAGGCAAAGGCCACCCCCTGACTTCTCTTTTCCATCACAAACTGTCTCCTCTGTCCACCTTGCCACGCCACGCCCATCCTCTCAAACTCCAACTGTGAGGAGATGCTGGATTTCCTCAAAACCAAAATGGAGGGGATACGTTCAGCCATCTCTGCCCTGTCCACAGCCACCCCCACATCACCTCTCCCTCATGACCCATTCCCCCCCCTATACTCCTTCGACCCTTTCTCTCCCTCCTCCCTCTCCACGATTGTTCGCAAACTCAACTCCACCACCTGCTCCCCCTCTCCTCATCTCCAAGTTCCACCTTTTGGCCAATCTCCTGTCCAACGTCATCAACCTCTCCTTGTCAACCGGTTCAGTTCCAACCCCCCTAAAAACAGCTGTCATCACCCCCATCCTGAAAAAACCTTCCCTGGACCCATCTCTACTCTTCAGCTACCGCCCCATCTCTAACCTCCCATTCCTCTCCTGGAACGAATCGTCGCATCCCAGCTCCGCTTTCTCTCTCGCCATTCCCTCTTTGAACCCCTCCAATCCGGCTTCCGCGCTGCCCACAGCACGGAAACAGCCCTGGCCAAAGTCATTAATGACATTCTGAACATCTGTGATCAGGGCTCCCTCTCTCCCTCTACCTCCTTGTCCTCCTTGACCTTTGCCGCCTTCGACACCGTCGACTATTCCACCCTCAAACACTGCCTCTCCTCCTTACTTAATCTTCGTGGAACTGTCCTTGCCTGCTTCGATTCCTATCTCTTTCACCATCTCCACTTTGTTGCCTTTAATGGTTTCTCCTCCAGCCCCCGCACTGTCACGTCTGGGGTCCCCCAGGGCTCTGTCCTTGGCCCTCTCCTCTTTAATATCTACATGCTCCACCTTGGTGACATCATTCACAGACATGGGGTCAACTTCCATATGTATGCGGATGACACCCAACAATATCTTTCTGCGTCCACCCTCAACTTCAGGACCTCTGCTGTGCTGACAGACTGCCTGTCGGACATCAAGTCCTGGATGAGGGCAAATTTCCTACAGTTGAATGTGAACAAGACTGAGGCCCTCCTGATTGGCTCACGCCAGCGCCTCAGCACCTCAGGCTCCGGCAGCATCAACCTCCATGGTTGCACACTTCAACTCACCGCCAGTCAGGAACCTCAGTGTCTTGTTCGCCCCTCAACTGTCTTTTCTTCCCCACATCCAAGCCATGACCCGCTCTGCATTCCCTCACCTCCATAACATCGCCCGACTCCGCTACTACCTTACCCCTCAGGCCGCTGAAACTCTTGTTCATGCCTTCATCACCTCCAGGCTCGACTATGCAAACGCCCTGCTTGTCAGCCTTCCTAACTCTTCCCTCCACAGGCTGCAGATAATCCAGAACTCTGCAGCCCATGTCCTCTCCCGCCCCAAACTTTGTGACCCCATCTCCCCCATTCTCGCCTGACTCCATTGACTTCCTATCTTTCAGAGGATCCAGTTCAAAATCCTGGTCCTCACCTACAAAGCCATGAATGGCCTCGCCCCACTCTATCTCTGTGACCTCCTAACCCCCTACCAACCCGCCTGCTCCCTCTGCTCAGCCGGCTCCACGTCTCCCGACCCACCCGCCCCGCCATTGGCAGGAGAGCCTTCAGTCACTCTGCCCCCAACCTCTGGAACTCCATCCTCCAATCACTCCGCCTCGCCCCCTCCTTAGCCTCCTTCAAGTCCCGCCTCAAAATCCTCCTCCTCTACTATGCCATTAGTCAACCTCTTCCCCTCCCCCCCCAACCCCAGCTCGGGTCTGAAATGCTGTACACTGTCCAGCGCCTTGGAACGTCCTCCCAACCTGAACGGCGCTATACAAATGTAATCTTGTTGTTGTTGAATGTTCACAAGACCGACGCCCTCCTGCTTGGCTCCCATCAGCGACTCCAGACCTCGGCGCTGACACCATCTGCCTCTATGGATGGACTCTACTTTTCATGGAGCCAATACGGAACCTTTGCGTCCTGTTCGACTCTCAAATGTCCTTTATACCCCAGATCTGCGCCGTGACCCTCTCCGCCTTGCCCCATCTCCGCAAAAATCACTTGGCTCTGCCACTATCTCACACCGCAGGCCGATGAGAACCTCATACATGCATTCATTACTCCAGGCTCGACAACGCAAACTCTCTGGATGTCGGCCTCCCCAACTCCTCCCTCCATAGGCTGCAGATCATCCAGGAATCTGCAGCCCATGTCCTTTCCCGCACCAGGCTCCATGACCCTATTACCCCCATCCTCGCCCGACTCCACTGGCTTCCCAACACACAGGGGATACAGTTCAAGATCCTGCTCCGCACCTTCACACCCTCCATGGCCTTGCTCCCCCCTACCTCTGTGACCTTTTAACTCCCTACCACCCTGCCCGCTCCCTCCACTCAGCGGGCTCTAAACTGCTTCATGTCCCCCGCCTTGCACGGCCCACCATTGGTGGGTGGGCCTCCAGCCACTCTACCCCTACCCTCTCAAACTCCATCCCGTAGTCCCTCCGCCTCGCCCCCTGCCTTGCCTCCTTCAAGACGTGTCTCAAGACGCTCCTCTTTGAGGGTGCCTTCGGTCACCCTCATTCCCCCTCTGCCTTCCGCTCTCCCCAATCCTGTCCCCCAGCTCGGGGTCCAAAACACTGATTGTCCAGAGCCTTGTGATGTCCTTCTGACGTCAATGGCGCTATACAAATGTAATGTTGTTGTTGTAGTGTCTCAGAGCACTTAACAGTGGGGAGCTCAATGTTGAGCTGGGGAAGACAGGGTAAGGTAAGAGGAGGGGGGTGGTGGGGGGAGAGAGGAAGGGAATGGGGGGGGAGGGGAATGGGGGAGAGAGAGGAGGGGAATGGGGGGGGGAGGTACTTTTGGGGGATAAAAATCCAATGGGGTAGAATTAATAAAACTATTTAATGAGCATTCTAACCCATAAGCAGACCCTGGCCTCCCCAGAGCCTTCACAACCCTGGACCCTCGGCCACGGCAGCTCCACAATCATAAGGCAACAAAGCAAGCTGGCATCACCCAGCTGGGACAGTCAGTGGCTCCCAGCACCACCAGAGCAGGCCTGAGAGCAGACAAGAACTTACATTGTTGCAGCGCACCTTTCCCAAGATCACCAGGGAGATTAGAATAATAAACCCCTCAGCCAATCTGATCCCAGCCCGACCATCACATCATTGAGACATTTATTAAAAAAGATTGTGAACCTATCACACCCACCTTCGCCTGGCTCCATTAGCTCCCCCCCATCCCCCAGAGGATAGAGTTCAAAATCCTAGTCCTCACTTTCAAAGCCCTCCACGTCCTTGCTCCTCCCTACCTGTGTGATATCTAACTCTCTCTGCTCGGTGGGCTCTGGCGTGCTCCATGTCCCCACCCTGCCAACCCATCGGCAGTCAGGCTTTCAGCCCATGCCCACGAGAACTCCATCCCACAGTCCCTCCACCTTTCACTCTCCCTTGCATCCTTCAAGGCACGTCTCAAGACCTTCCTCTTCGACCGTGACTTTGGTCATCTTCCCATCCCCACTTTCCCTGCCCTCCATCCCCCCTGAACCCAACCACCAGCTTGCATCCAATTCCTTGACTGTCCAGCGCTTTGGGACGTCCTCCCGACATGAAAGGTGCAATATAAATGTAATTTGTGGTTGTTCTTTCCTACATATCTTCATCTCCCCTCTATATATGTGCCTGGAGATGAACAACAAGTGGCTCCCTGCAACTGAACTGAATTGAGAGCCATAAGAGTGATGGGCTGTGTGACTCACCCACTGCAGGGAACGGCACAAACCTCTGGATCAGTAACCTGGCGGCTGGGCTGAACTGTTTGGTTTTCTGGATGAAACGATTGAGGCCCACCTGAAAAAGGGCAGGAGAGAGGGGGAGAGGGAAATCATCCCCCGAAACCTGGATTAGATTCTAGCCTGTACCTCACTCCTGGAGGGGGGTGTGATTCTGTATACGCCCCCCCTCCCCCCCGAAAACTCCTGCATTAGATTCCAGCCTATATCTCACTCCCAGGTAGCACCACACTGTTGCTCACACCTGTGTGATTCAGTGCAGCAATCAGAGGATGGTGGGCTGGATGTTATGTGGAAGTGCCAGTAGGGGCTGTGCCTGGCTCAGCTGGTGGCAGACACCCTGCTCTCTCTCTCTCAGCACAGTGCGAAAAGCTGCAATGAGCTGTGTGGCTAGAATCACACACGGTGCCGCCATACCGCTCACAAACCATTATCGGGGAGCACACAGACAGACCTCGTAGGATTAACTAGAACCGCGCAAGGAGCGAGAAAAATAAATGGAAATATTTCATCAGAAATAAAAGCGGATTCACTGCATTGCACGGCCATCACCTGCCAGGGATCCCTGAATCCAACACAATAATATAATAATTCTTGCATATAGCACTTTATCATGTCGTTGAGACATCTCAAATGTTTCACTGAATATACTGTAAAGTGAACTGACTATATTTTGTGGGTGAAACACGGCAGCCAATTGCGTACAGCAGTGTCCCACAAATTATTATTTTTTGAAGTAATTATTACCCCAGAAAGCGATCGTGACAATCGACTAACAATTAACCAATACACTATAGGACTCCATGCCCAGGGAGAGCTACCCTAAGACTGCAGCCTGCAATGTCAAACAGGAAGATGGTAAGCCCTTTAATATTAAATTCTAAAGTTTTAGCCTTCAGACCACCTGACTTAAATTTAAAACTGTGCACGATTATGGAAATTTACCGGTGTTTGGATGAAACAAAGCTTTCTCTCTCCATGGAGAGATGCACCCTGCTTACCTCATTCTGGAGAGTATTAGTCACAGATTGCCAAGAGCCAAGTTTTGGAGATCCCAGGAGCAGTTGGGGTGCCTGCTAGAATTTAACCAGCTAAAACTGCATTTGCCTGTTGGGAACACTGCCTGGCAGGTTTTCCTGCTGCTTGTCCAGCTAGGATCATCCTTACTGTTAGGGCTTTGGCTTTCTGGTTTAACAGGAGCTTCCCCCAGTGACTGGTCTGCCCTCCCAAGTCCTGCCGATGAGTTAGGCTGGGCTGTCATCAGTAGTGCACTGGAATACTGTGGATCCACCTGGCTCAGGAGCCAGACTAGACACGGCCACAGGGAGTGGACTCGATTCTGATATTCTGTTGCCAGAAATGTCACCTTGGAGCAAGTTCAACCCCGAGGAGAATAATAATAATAATAATAATCCTTGCATTTGATATAGCGCTTTTCACGTCGGGAGGACGTCCCAAAGCGCTTCACAGAACACACATTGAGTTGACTGTATATTTGTGGGTGAACGCGGCAGCCAATTGCGCACAGCAATGTCCCAAATAACAGACAAGACACTGACTGGTGTACACTACACACCCCAGCATATGAGCAGCTGACTTTCTCTGGGTGCAGACTGAATGTTACTCACCGCTATTGAGACTGCGCTGGTTACAGCACCACAGTAACCCAGGGCGAACGTAAATCTGGAGGTCACCTGCAGAGGGATGGAAGGGAAAAGGAACATGTTGAGTAAGACAAATTGATCGGAGTGAAAGTTCCTCATCACAAATGTGCTGATGATATCTCAATGGGATTTACACAGCATTTCACGACAGTGTCTCAGATCCTTGAGGTATAACAGATCTGCCAAAAAATGACTTCTGGGTCATCGTTGATGTCACTGACGGCAGACACTGATCGACTTCCTATACTCGGCAGGAAGCCAGCCGGTCGACGCCATTGGTGTGCTACATTACAGGTAACCAGGGATCCTCAAGACACCTACGTTACAGGCAACCTCATCCACCAGCCTTCCAACAGGCTTGCTCTGTATTTTGTGTGCGATCAATATGCACAATGAAAATTCTCACACACCACTCCCTTTGTTATTTTGACAATGATCTAAAATTGATACCTTCAAGTTACCAACTAACAGGCATAGTTTCTCCCTATAATCCCCTCAATTACCTCTCCCACCCCATCCAATGAGGACTTTAATCCGTGATGGAGATCCATTGGAGGATGTCAAAGTCTTCGAGGTTTTGAGGTGAATTCCCCCATTTGGTTTCCATAAGTTTGAAGACAGACAGGAGAAAAAACAGCCGTGAAGTTTTATGTAAAATAGTAAATCTCTCACCTTGCTTGCGTTCCTATTTGCATAATTCACACAGGCGTTATGGCTCTGGTTCAATGTCTGCAATAAAGTGAAACATCATATTTCTTTAATGCAAACTCACTCTACAGCACGGGTCAGAGACAGAGTAAAGCTGCCTCTACACTGTCTGTCCACACTCCCAGGTCAGTGACAGCATGGGTTACACTCTTATTGAACATGACTGATGTCTCGATCCATCACCTGACTTCCCAACTAAGGTTTCCAATACAAATGACATGCGGCCTCAGCCTGACCGAATCCAGAGTGATGATGTGAGGCTGTCTCGGTGCAGGGCTCCTTACCTGCCAGAAGATAGTTGATGCCAAGGTCTGGTTTGGTAGCAGAAGGCCAATAACCTGCAGAGAAAACAGGTAGATATTGAAGAGCTGAGCAGCCCAGGAAGAGACCATTAAGTGAGCCATGAATGTGAGTGTCCAAAGGCTTGAATCACAACCTCACCCAGAGGCAATATGAGCCAGCTAATAACTGACCATTACCAAGCGAGTGTCGGGATGAGACACTACGTGGAGTCCGACTGCATCACTACGTTAGTGAATAGTTAGTGAACTCCCCCAAGCAAGTGGACCTGTGTTCGATTCCCAGGCAGGGTGAAACTTTAGGTTTCCTTAGTCCGTACGCCTGTTTATCTTGCAGTAAGTAGGAACCCAGTTAATCGATTGGTCGATCGTTTTCCGGGGGTAATAATCCCTCTCCCCCACTCCAAAAAAAATTGGTCCTTCAATCCATGACTGTTTGTAGGAAACTGCTGTGCGCAACTGGCTGCTGCATTTTGCCCACAAAATGTACAGTATATCCTGTGAAGCGCTGAGACGTCTCAACGACATGATAAAGCGTTATATGAAATGCAAGATTATTATTACTTATAGTAACAACAATGACACCTCCAAACGCTTTACAAGGACGGGTAAAATGCAACTGAAACAGAATAAAAATACTCACAATGGGGGTTCCGAAGGGAACGAAACCTGCAAGAGAGAGTCAGACCATGAAACCTCGCTGCTTGCTGGCTCCCTCTCTCTCCCAGTGTTTCCCGTCCGTTCTCTCTCTCTCTCTCCACCCCCCCGCCCCGCCTCCCCCATGGAAAACACACGCTGCTCTGCACCCCCGCTGAGAGTACACAATTTGCTGAGATTGTTTTGGTCAACATGATGTCCAGCACGAGGAAACCTATCACTGTGTTCAGTATCCAAACTAGCCACCTACACACAGGAATTTCACTGTTTGAGGAATGGAATGGGTACTCTCCCTCTGGTGGGACACGCTCTGCTTAAATAAAGTCTTCAGTGCAAGTTGGTGAGAAACAAGGCATGGGGGTCCCGAGTGTGTGTGGAAGTGCTTTCTCTCTCTCTCGGAGAGAAGGGGGAGAGATGATTATTCAAAGAAACACTGTGTCCCCCCACCCCTTCCACTTTTTCAAGAAAACCTTCCTTTTTGACTGTGCTTACGGTCACCACCCACCATTAAGTGCTCTGAGACGCTATCCTGCGTGGAGGGTGCTATATAAGTGCAAGTTGTTGATGAGTTACCTGACATTCGGAACGGCATAAAAATCTTTTGGTTAGTGTCTGGGTGTATGATGGCCTGAGAGAAAAGAGAAAGCATGGAGATTCAGAGGAAGTCGCAATTCACTGACTCGTTGATTTCAGGTAACTGTCAGTTGGCAAGACATCAGGACAGGGAGCGGCAGTGAGCTAGATCTCGACGCTGTACACCCAACACAAATACAAATTACATTTGTGCAGCACCTTTCACGTCAAGGGTTTGTACCCAAGCTGGGGGTTGGGATAAAGAAGGGTGGGGGGGCAAGGGGGTGGGGGTAGGAGAGTGATCAAAGACATGATCAAAGAGGAAGTTCTTGAGACGGACCTTGAAGGAGGCAAGGGAGGGGGTGAGGGTTAAGGGCTCCGGATGGAGTTCTAGAGGGTCGGCAGAAAGGATGAGGGCCGACCACCGATGGTCAGGCAGGCAGGCGGGGGACGTGGAGCAGGCCAGTGAGCGGAGGGAGCAGACAGATTGGTATGGTCGCAGAGGTCTCACAAACCCTCCGCCAAGCTCCCCACCTCACAGCCCTTGCCCCCCTCCCTGCCTCACAAAATCCTCCCCCAGCCTCGTTCCTCCCTGCGCACAACCCACCTCCCAGGACCCTCCCTCACCTCACCCCCTGCCTCACAGCCCCCCTACCCCACTTCACAACACCCGTCCCCGCCCCCTCCCGAGCACCCCCCCCACTTCACAGGCCACTCCCGCAGCTCCCCATCCCCCCGCCTCAGAGGGATGGGCGACAGGGGGGAAGATTCTGATTCTATACAGTATAGTCTCACTGATAAGAGTGAACCAGTAAAAACTAAAAGCTCACCTGCTTGATCTTCTGAGCTTCCCAGAGCTAAAAAAAAAAGAAAAAAAGAAAACAGTGACTCCATACCAAAGAGCACAGAAACATGCCATTCTGCCCAACAGGCCTCCACACCGCCTCATTCCCTCTAATCCTTTCTCCTCCATCCAAACATCAAAATAGAGCACTCGCCTCGCAAGCGAAAGGACCCAGATTTGATTCCTGGATGGGGCAAAACCTTAGGCAAGTTTCCATACTCCAAACGCCTTCTGCATGTCCCTCTTGCCCTCCGTTCCATTATTGGTGGCCACACTTTCAGCCGCCATCCCTCCGCCTTGCCCCTTCCTTCCCCATCTTCATGTCAAGCCTGAAAACCTTCATCTTTGGCTGTGGCTATGGTTACTTCCTCCTCCCCTCGGCTCAGCGTCGTGTTCTGCCGCTGTCGAGTGTTCTGGGATGCTACCCTGCATATATTAATGCAACTCTCTGCCCCCAGTGACTGGTCTGCCCTTCCAGGTCCTGCCGATGAGCCAGGCTGGGCTTTCATCAGCAGTGCCCTGGAATACTGCGGACCCAGGGAGTCATCCCACTCAGCTCCTGTTAACCCTGCAAGCCAAAGCTCTAACGGGTAGGGTGGTCCTAGCTGGACAATCAGCGGGAAAGCTTGCAAGACAGTGCTATCAATGGCAGGTTATGCGGTATTAGCTGGTTAGACTCCAGCAGTTTCCTCAACACACACTCTGGGGTCCCCAAGCCTTGGCTCTTGCCAACTTGCACTTAATACGCTTTGGAATTAGGTAATACTTAATCCACAATTAGGTAAACACGATGTGTCCTTCCAGGGAGAGAGTGCACATTCCATTCCAACAATCTATCTCTGGGATTTCCACGTGTAGGTGGGAAGCTGACACCCACCTCCCCTAAAAAACAGGATGAACAGTGAAAGTGCTCCATGACAGAGGACCAGAATTGGAGCATCGCAGGGATAATTTAAGAGCTCACCAATTTTAAGGGAACAATCCTGCTCCAAAGTCACCAATTTTTGGTTGTTTTTTGCCTGAAGACTTTCCTCTTTATCCATGCCTACAGTCACCTCCACCCTCCTCGGGGTCATGCACCGTTACTTTCAAGCTCTCTGGGACACCACCCTGCGCGAGGACTCAAAATAAATGCAAGTTGTTGTTGTTTCCTGGAAAAAGTCCCCCCCCCCACCCGGGACACTGCACTGGCCAGGAGAGTGGCTCCGCTCAGCCCAAGACCAGGACGAGCAGGACATGTCAGATCAAGCAGTTCTGAAATAGCAAGCAGCAATTTTCATGTGTAAGTGTGAGAAGATGGGAACAGCCAGTGAGGGGCACAACTCCTGGTGGGAGGTAATTATCAAGTCCAGCCTTGCCATTGTTCCATCCGCAGGACACAACACTCATTCAAAGAGAACATTATGGGCCACTTAATTCAACATTTAACCCTTCAGATCATTTAGTAAAGATTTGCCCTCATACCTGCCCCAATTAAAGCTGTCCTAATATTCCACTCATCACACATTAATGAAGGAAATTGACAAATTAGCATCAGGGATGCTAATCAACAAGCCAGCCGGATGGATGTCCTGATGAGAGTTCAGGAGGTCTAGTTTGCAGTATTTCTTAACTGATTTCTTAATAAGAAATTGTGTAATGAAAAAAATCCTAAACAATTTTTTTTAAATACGTTTGGTGTAATTCAATAGTTACAAATTTCTTATTAAGAATTACCGTAAATTGGAGACTGCTATAAACCTGGAACAAAGCTTTGATAGAGTGAGAGAGAGAATAGAAAGAAGAGAGATGAGAAATAGGGGAAGTGAAAGAAATAGAAAGAAAATGAAAAAGGAGAGAGAAGTTAGAGGAGAGAAAGAACAAGGGGGGAGACATAATAATATCAAAATAACTATAATATATTTGATATAGCGCCTTATCATGTTGTTGAGACATCTCAAAGCGTTTCACAGAATATATTGTAAAATGAATTGACTGTTTTTGTGGGTGAAATGCGGCAGTTAATTGTGCACAGCAGTATCCTACAAACAGTCATAAATTGATAATTAATTTTCATAAATTGAAAAAATGTTTTTGTTGGAAGGTTTATTAGCCACGGAAAGCGATTCACCAATCGACTAACAACCGGGCTCCTACTTACTGCTAGGTAAACAGATAAATAGAGTAAATAGAGAAATGGGCAAATACAGAAGAAATAGTGAGAGAGGGGAATGAGAAAGGGGAGGGGGGGGTTAAGAAATAGTTCAAGAGAAGGCACAGAGAGACGGACCCCAGAAAGCTCTTTGCCTGCCCCCACCCCAGGTAGATAGCTGCCTTCCCACTGTTGACCTGCCCGGCGGCTGAATCAGGTTGATGACATCCAAACACAATAAAAGGAAACCACGAGGTCAGCAGTCACAGCCCCAGGGATGGCTCACAGGACCCGCAGCTGAAGGGTGGCAGCAGCCGGTGGTGTGAATGGGTCAAGACAATTGGAATAATGTCAAGAGATCAGATAAGTCACAAAGGCACCCCGGCCCCCCCACCTCTCCTGCACTTAAAATGCACTGCTCCTTTGCTCGCTCACTCACTCGGATGAGCAGCATGGGCAGTGTGAAAGCCTGCAGCTCAGGTTACGTTCCCTGGAACCTATCCTATTCTACCCCATGGACGGGAGACAAAGAACGTGCCAAGGGGGGAAGTTGAGAGAGACCCAGGAGTGTGAGCTGACTTGTCTCTCAGCATGTCCAAACAGTGTGAGGCAACAACAAACAAGGCAAACAGGATGCTGGGCTGCACTGCCAAATCACTTCAGCTGAGCTGACTGAACCAAACCAAAGCTCATATGTCAATGACTGCGGACTGTGCAAGCTGCAGCGTGTATGAGCTTTATATGAAGTTCATCTTTGGAGAGAATTGGGTCTGAGCAGGTCAGACATTAAACTTTCACACTGGAATCCATCCAGGGGGTCAGGATGGATCTTTTGCTGAGGCTGGGCAATAGGTGGGACACTATCCATTCAACTCTTGGAATGAGCCATGCAATACCATTACCATACAATACAAATTTACACTTATACAGTGACTTCCACGTCAGGAGGATGTTCTATGGTGCTTAACAATCCTGACTGGGCACCTGAGCTGGTGGTGGGAGCTGAGGTGGGTGGGGAGGCCAAAGATGACCAAAGGCATGATTAGAATAGTTTACAATTCAGTGCAATCTAGTGTATGACCTGTTCCAGACATCCAACAAAATTACAAACATGAGAAAGAAGAGATGAGACGTTAAACCGAGTTCCCCACCTGTTCCCTTCAGGTGGATGTTAAAAGATCCCGCGGTGCTATTGGAAAAGAGAAGGGAGTTTCTCTCTCCCGGTGTCCTGGCCGACAATCCCCAGATAAAATTGATTATTCACTTCATGGCTGTTTGTGGGATGTTGCTGTGTGCAAATTGACTCACGCGTTCACCTATAAAATACAGTCACTGCACTTTACAATGAATCCATAAATATCCTCCTGACACAACACTGTATTAAGTGCAAGGATTTATTATTGTAATAATCTGTTTCTATACAGGACTTCATGTCCAAACTGAGAGCAAGTGATTTCCCATCACAGGAAAGGGGGAGACAAGCTGAGAACCAGAGCTAATAAAACACTGACCAGAAATACTGGCATCTATTTTGGGCCAATTCTAAAATGTTAATAACAATAATCCTTGCATTTGATATAGCACCATAACATGTCATTGAGACATCTCAAAGCGCTTCACAGAATATGTTGAAAAGTGCATTGACTGTATATTTTGTGGGCAAAGCGCATTAGCTAATTATGCAAAGCAGTGCCCCATAAACTATTGTGGATTTGGTGACCAAAGTACTTTTGGGGTGTGGGGACTCGAGAGGCGAGCGAGCTAAGCGATATGTCAATGGGACTCCACATTGTTAATTTCACAACAATACAATTTACATTTTACACAGCGCCTTTCACATCAGGTGGAAATCCCAAGATGCTTGTCAATGATAGCTTGACGCCATCATTGATAATGGAGTCTCTACTCAAATCCCATTCTTTGCTCTTTATCCATTGTGTGTATGATGGTACTCACTCTCCACTGGAGCTCTCTACTCTAATACCATTCCCTTGCTCTTTCCCCCATTGTGTCTGCTGGTGCTTGCTCCCCATTGGAGTTCTCTAATCACATTCTCCTCCTCTTTTCCCTATACTCTTTATATTTATTTTCCCATAAGTATTTATCCAATTCCCTATAAAACCTGTTACACCTTGACTTGCACAACCAACCGTAAATCTTCCAACCTCCTCATAAAAGTTGACTCTCTCCAAGAATCAAACTCAATCAGAGGATTCCGAAGTACTGCCTTTCCTGTTCAAAATTTCTTGTTATAATGCTTGCATTTGATACAGCGCCTTATCACATCATTGAGACATCTCAAAGCGCTTTACAGAATATATTCTAAAGTGAATTGACTGCATTTTGTGGGTAAAACGCAGCAGCCAATTACACACAGCAGTGTCCCACAAACAGCCCTGCCAGAGAATTGAATCCGGGTTCCTCTCACTTGTGAAGCGAGCGCACTAACCACTACACTACAGGGCTCCTACCTGGCAATCGGTGACCTCCGGGGCAGTAATGCCATGTTCATAATCCTCCAGAAGCTGTAAGGCTGCTTTAAGTCGGCTCTGAAACCAAAACATACACATACACAAAGTCAGATATATAAAATAAGAAAACAAATCACATTTTTCTCTCTGATTTCTGTTGAGGGAGGCCAGCTGCCACCTCTGACTCTGTTGGTGGATGGAAGTGCTCACAGCGAGCGACACGTCGTGCGAACAATCACAGCTCCTGCACAGCTCCCGCTATCCTGGCCACCTGAGCCTTGCTCCCCTCACCCCCACCACCAGCACCGCACTCTTCCCCCCTCATGGCAGGGAGTCAAGGCAGGGGTTAAATAAAATCACAGGCTTCAAAGTCCACCTAGTCTTAGGCTTTTCTCTTCAAATTTACAATAATGATCCTTGCATTTGATATAGCGCCTTGTCACGTTGTTGAGACGTCTCAAAGCACTTCACAGAATATATTGTAAGCAACAACAATAACAACAAATTACATTTGTATAACACCTTTCACGTCAGGACGATGCCCCAAAAGTCGATTGACTGTATTTTGTGGGCGATTGCAGCGAATTGCGCACAGCAGTGTCCCAAAACAGTCTTAGATTGAGTGACCAAATTATTAATATTATTATTTTGTTTTAGGGGTTATTACCCTTGGAAAGCAATCGGCCAATTGACTAATAACCGGGTTCCAATTACTACTAGGTAAACAATGGTGTATGGAGTAAGGAAACTTATATAAGGTTTCACCCCGTCCGGGAATCAAACCTGAGTTTGCCTCTGGAGATGTCTAACTGCAAATCGACCAGTTTTTTGGCTCTTGACATGAATCTCTTTTGGTCCTCTCAAAACGGGACTCCACAACCATTTAGAGCGCAGAATAGGGCAATTTTTTATAAAGCAGTTTTCATTTATATTAACTTCATTCTTCATCCACGTACTCGTCACTCCGGATCTGACCAGCTCTCTCTTTCTTTTCCTTCCCCCAACATCCAAGCTCTCTCTCTGCGTACGTTCAACTTTCTTTCTCCTTCTTTCCCCTAAATTCCTCAGATGTTATTCAGTTCCCTTTTGAATGTCTCTATTGATCTGGCCTCAGTGGCTGGTTGTGGGAATGAATCTCAAATCCAGACAAGCCTCTAAGATTCTCTCCAGGTTCTCCTCAGATTCTCCCACTAACAACCCAGAAACCATTCTCCGCCCAGTCACCCATTCCATGACTAAAGGAAATCAGTTTCCCTTCTCTTGCAGACTGTGTCCCGTTCAGAACTGCTGATGACAGCTCATCGGCAGGACTCGAAGGGCAGACCAGTTACTGGGGGCAGGGAATCCTCCCACTCAGCTCTTGTTAACCCTGCAAGTTAAAGCCCTAACGGGTAGCGTAGTCCTAGCTGGATAAGCAGCAGAAAAGCTTGCCAGATAGTGCTTCAATGGCAAGCTATGCGGTTTTAGCTGGTTCGACTCAAGCAGTTACCCCAATACACTGGGGTCCTCAAGCCTTGGCTCTTGTCAACCTGCACCTAATACTCCCTGGAATTAGGTAAACAGGATGCATCCCTCCAGGGAGAGAGCGCTCATTCCATTCCAACAATCTGTCTCTGGAATTTCCATGTTTAGGTGGGATGCATGGAATTCTCACCGGGTTTAAGAGTTTGGTTTGGATATCCTTAAGCATGCTGATGGGTTTCCGCATGTGTCAGACACCTCTCAATCTTCTCCAGTTTAGCTCAGCCCATCTTCGTATGCAGATCTTTCCAAACCCGGTTACATACTAGCGAATGAGTGATCATCTTAGTACTAATATACTTCTCTGTACATTAATTATAAATATTATTGAATTCCCACCTTGCTGACTCCTCATTGCCCCGGACTCATCAGTGCTCCACGGGAGGCTTAGAGCTTTTCACCTCTATGCGAATGCTGAGCAACTGCTCTGAAATTAGTTCTGTTAATTAGGGCGTAGCCTAATGGAGCCACAACTTCATCAGCTTGAGATGAATGTTGGTGAGTCAGGCTGTAGACTGCACAAATACAATGTGTGATCCACACCACGGGCTCCAGAGGGAGGGAGTGCTGGACAGTGCTCTCAATAGCAAACTATGTTTTAGCTGGTTAGACTCCAGCAGTTACCCCAACACACACTCTGGGATCCCCAAGCCTTGGCTCTTGTCAACCTGCGCCTAATATGCTTCGGAATTAGGTAAATTTAGGTGTGTCCCTCCAGGGAGAGAGAGAGTGCACATTCTATCACCGATACAGGGAAATTTCGCTGGTTGTAGGTATATGTGGAATCCATGCTGGTATGGAGATTCTTAAACCTGGTGATGGGTTTCCACATGTCAGACACCCGGCTGAACAAACTAGATTCATGCCAGGAGCTAAAAAGCTGGTCGGTTTGCACAGCGAAATGACTCCAGAGGCAAACCCTTAGAGGGTTCCCATCCCCCCCCACACATGCCGCTGTTTAGCTAGAAGTAAGTAGGAGGCTGGTTGTTAATCGGCTGGTGGATCCCTTTCCAGGGATAATAATCCTTCCAAAAAATAGGAAAATAATATTAATTTTATCACTCAATCCACAACTATGCACAATTGGCTGCCGCGTTTTGCCCACAAAATATACAGTCAATTTACTTTACAATATATTTTGTGAAGTACTTTGAGGCATCTCAACAACGTGATAATGCGCTGTTTCAAATATAAGGGTTATTATTATTATGCAGGACGACGTGCAGGAAACCACGGCAAACAATTTGTGGAGCAATGTCCCGCAAACAATGGGTGCATTGACTTATAATTTGGATTAATTCTGACACTATCCTTCTCCACCCAGCCCCTGCTGAGCGCAACTGTCATTTCAGAACCAACACGTTTCAAACCTTTTTCCAACAAGCAATTTACAGATTGGAGGAGGATTTTGCCACCTCCAGGGGCACTGACAGCGACCTTTGCTTCATCCCGGCGACACAAGGCAAGTGTCAGCCTGGCTCAGTCGGTAGCTCTGGTCAATAGATTGTGGGTTCAAGCCCCCAAGTTAGGGACTCTCACAGTCCAGGCTGATGTTCTAGAGCTGCGGGAGGGGAAGGGAGCACTTGCCCCCCTCCTAACTACTTTCAAAGCCCACCTCAAGACATATCTCTTTGACCGTACTTTTGGTCATCTTCTCGCCACCTCCATCTCCCCCTGGCTTGGGTGCCAGCTGTGCAAAGCACTTTGAGACGTCCTCCTGACATGAAAGCGCCACATAAATGTATTGTACTGTTAGAGACACTGTTCTTTGCGTGAGACATTAAACCAAACTTCTGTCTATTTGTTTCTGTAAAAGCTGCACAACATTATTGGATAAGAGAAGGGAGTGCTGAGGCAATGCTCCATTGCATTTGATATAGCTCCTTTCATGTCAGGAGAATGTCTCAGAACATTTCGAAGAATTCACAGTAAAGTGCAGTGACTGTGTAGATGAACGTTGCAGCCAATTTGCACACAGCAATGTCCCACAAGCAACCATGAAGTGAATGACCAATTTTATGTGGCAGATTGTTGGCCAGGACATTGGGAGAAACTCCCTTCTCTTTTCGAGTATTGCCATAGAATCTTTTTTGAGACGTCTTGAAGATGTGATAAGGTGCTACACAAATGCAAGGCTTATTATTATTATTATATCCACCAGGCAGGGACAAGAGCGGTTTAACATCTCATCTGAAGGAAGGCACAGCTGACAATGTGGTGCTCCCCCAGCAATGTACTGGAATGTCATGACTTGAACCCACAACTCTCTGGCAAACGTGCAAGTATCCGAGCCAAGTTGATGCTTGATTATTATAATAATAATACTTTTGAGACACAGCTCCATTTCCTTTGTGTTGAAGAGCATTGATCAACAACACAAACAATAAATTTACATTTATACAGCACCTTTCACATCGAGAGGATATCCTAACGCCCTGCACAGTAAAGGATTTGTATCCGAGCTGGGGGTTAGATTCGGGAGAGTTGGGGGTGCGGGAAGATGACAGAATGCAAGGTCTTGAAATGAACACTGAAGGAGGTGAGGGAGGGAACGAGGTGGAGGGACACGGTAAGATTATATTTGGAATGCTTAATGTTTTTAAGGCTTTTTAATTTATCTTCATATACTTTTAGGATGTAACCCAATATAGAATGTGACATGGGCTTGGGAGAGAGATGGCGGAAGAGGGGGAGAGGAGGAGGGGGAGACGGGAGGGGGGATAGAGGGGGAGGGGAGAGGGAGAGAGGAGGGGGGGAGAGAGGGGGGGAGAGAGGGGGGAGAGAGGAGGAGGGGAGAGAGGAGGGGGGGGGAGAGAGAAGGGGGGGAGAGAGGAGGGGGAGGGGAGAGAGGGGGGGCGAGAGAGGAGGAGGTGGGGGGGAGAGAGGAGGGGGAGAGAGGAGGGGGAGACGGAAGGGGGGAGGGGAGAGAGGAGGGGGAGGGGAGAGAGGAGGAGGGGGGGGAGAGAGGAGGGAGGGAGGAGAGGAGGGGGGGAGAGAGAGGAGGGGGAGAGAGAGAGGAGGGGGGGGGAGAGGAGGGGGAATAGATTGATTGAGAGGGAGGTGGTAGAGTGTGAGACATGGGGAGTGAGAGAGAGTAATTGAGAGAAAGATTGTGTAAAAGGAGAGTGCCTGAGAGAGAAGGGGAGAGTGTTCTCCCCCTCTGTCCCCCTTGTCCCTTCTTTCTCTCCCCCTTCTCTTTCACCTTCTTCGTCTCCCTACCCCCTTGCTCTCGCCCACCCCCCTTCTCTTTTCCCCCTTCTTCACCCCCTCCTCCCTCTTTCTCTACCCCTCTTCCAAGCTCTCCTCTCTCTCTCTCTCTTCCTCCTCTTTCTCTCCCACCTCTCCCTCTCCCGCCCTCTCCCTCCCTCCCCGTCTCTCTCTCCCGCGGGTCACTATCTGCAGTGGCAGGGGCCGGTGGTTGGTTGTGAAGGACGCGGTTGGTAAGAGACACACTTGCCTTCCTGACAGACTGCAGTAAAGGCTCTGCTCGTTGCATCCTCCCAACTGCTGGCTCCTGCTACTGCCCTGGGAGGACGTTCACCAGGGAGGGAGGGAATGTTGGAAATGGTCTTGGGCTGGATGCGGCCCGTGGACCTTTCTCAAATAGGGAATACGGTCCCTGGGAGTCAAAAGGTTGGACCACCCTGACATAAAACATGATGGGGGCTGGTTGTCTCAAACTATTAGCTTAGCAGGAGTTAAAAGATATGTTGGCTGGACCCGGTTGAGGTCATTTCCTGATAACATTGAGTCAATTTCTGATCCTGATTACATGTTTTTATGTCATAAGGTCAGTTCTTAATAACACTGCCCTGATTCACAAGTTCTCCTGCCTTGAAGTCTCACGTCCTTGACTACAGATGCGCATACAAGGAGCTTGAAGTGGGTGGAAGACACATTCAGGAAGCCATTTGTGTCTGTGCCATAACATTCTCCTCTCTCAAGGCTGAGAAATAGGCTACAGAAAAGCTCTTTAAGTGTCTATCTCTTTCTCCCCATCAGTTCTTTTCTCATGGAAAAATAATCTGCTCAAGGTCACTGGCTGCTTGAGGATGAAGGGGTCTGCAACTCCATTTTCTCAGAGGAAAAACTAGAGACAAAGGCAGGGAGGCTTGTGAATCAGACCATGGAAGGGGATGCGGAGTTAAAAACACTTAAAAGAAATAACTTAAGAAACGTTGGAGTCGTCATAGAGGGACTATGCTCCTTCCCAGTGGAATTGGGTAATATCGACTTTACAGTATCTATCGTCTCAGCTTGAAGGATTGTTAAGCTAACATTTTGATTTGTTGACTATTATTATTATATATTCAATAAAGTTACAAAATATACACTACTATTTTGGGTGCCTCTTCCTGAATCTTACAACTCTGGGGTGGAGTTCAGGAGAGTGGGGCAGAGAGGCTCAAAGCCTGACTGCCAATGGTGGGTCAGGCAGGGTGTAGGCGTGAAGCAGACCAGTACCTGCTGAGCGGAGGGAGTGGGGGGATTGGTAGGGTTTAAGAAGGTCACTGAGGTAAGGATGTGGCAAAACTGTAGAGTGATTTAAAAGGACAAGGATCTTGAACTCAATCTGCTATGGGATGGGGAGCCAGTGGAGTCCAGTGACAGGCTCGTGGGCCTAGTGTGGGAGCTGGCTGATCAGAGATGGAGTTCAACTGGTTGAGGATAGAGCACGTCACTTTAAGAGAGGGGAGTAGCTGGAATTCCTCTCACCATCGAAGGTTAATCAGCCTCCAGCGGGAGACCTGAGTGAAATCTCTGTGTGTGTTTTTTTTTAATAACTAAACTGGCCCTAATTTATTCCACACGACAATTTTCCAAAGACAGGGCTGTTAACGCGCAGTGTGGGGCCGGTTCATTAGAGGGGGAAAAGATGGGCACTTGGTAGGGAAGGAGTAAAAGGAAGGACACAGGAGGATTTCAAGAGCTGTCACAACTGGTACAAAAATACCCAGCGCAGGAGAGGTGAAAAAAATCCATTTACATGGAAGTTTATTTTTAAAGTCAGATTTTTCAACATAGGTTTTTCTCTGCAGCAGCGGGAAAGGGGAGCTGTGGTCATTAAACCTCATCTGCCTTTCTCCTTTAGGTGTCAGCCTAGCTCGGTCAGTAGCACTCTTTCTTATCAGTCAGAAGGTTGTGGGTTCAAGCTTCAAGTTGGGGATTTTGAGCTCAGTCTAGGCTTACAGTGCAGTGCACCCCAAACTAAGAAGGGTTTGGGACATTTGGATGCAGCAAAGTTTCTTTGCTGTGTAGAGCGGTCAACAAAGGGAATTATGGCTTCAAAACAAGGACAAGACGAGGGAAGGATTGGGATTTGGGATCTTTACTCTGGAGTGGAGTCCCATAGCATAGTGGTTAGCGCACTCACCTCACAAGTGAGAGGACCTGGGTTCAATTCCCGGGTAGGGCCAAACCTTAGGCAAGTTACCTTATTCCATATGCCTCTGTTTACGTGGCACTATGTAGGAGCCCAATTGTTAGTCGATTGGTAGATCACTTTCTGGGGGTAATAATCCCTTAAAAAAGGCAATTGGCTCACACACAAAATATACAGTGAATCCACTTTATAGTGAAGTGCGTTGAGACGTCTCAATGCTGTGATAAGGTGATATATCAAATGCAAGAATTATTATTATTAATCACTGGCCATTCGCGTTACACAAAATTGACAGATGGTGGACTTGGACAGTACCTCAGTCACAAAGAGTGTCCGTGGGTCGATGACATCCAGAAAATGTCGGAGACGTCCATAGAAAGTGCACTGAAAAAGAAAATAATCATTACTTCATCATGCCATACTTCAACTTCATTCCCTCCTCACTACAGCTCAACTGGGGATAACTGCCCTATGTCAGGACTCATAATCTAGGCTGACACTCTGTGCTGTGTGTTTGGTGTGTGTTTGTGTGTATGTGTGTGTTGTATGTATGTGTGTATGTATGTATGTGTTTGTATGTATGTGTGCGCGTGTGTGTGGTGGGGGGGGGGGGAAGAGGTGGAACACATTTGCCGATTCAGAAGAGATAATAACCGTGATTCCCACATGCCTGTTCAGATCCTGTGGCACTATTCGCCCACAAAATACACAGGCAATTAACTTTTTACAGTATATCCTGTAAAGCGCTTTGAGACATCTCAACGATGTAATAATGCGTTATATCAAATGCAAGGTTTATTAATTTCACATTCAGTCCGTGGAAGTGAAGGGTGTGTTTTAGCATCGCTTAAAAAGACTTTCCCCCCATTGTATGTCGTCCTTTCTCTTCTATCCGACTTTCACACAAAAATCTGAGGAATTGGGATGTCCTGGGATAGATTAGCTGCTGTTTTTGTCTCTGTGTCAGCAATCTCTCAGTTTCTGATCATGTTATTCGGTGAAATGCTTTGAGATGTCTGTATCACATGAAAGGCCCTGGGTGACTGCATTTCAGTATTTTTTGGACTTTGGCCTCCAAAGGGTTATTATTAAACACAAGAACACCAGACGTGGGAATTACTAGCTGTATGTCAAACAGCTCATTATTATATTCAAAGAGAAGGGAATTTCTCTCTCCCAGTGTCCGGGCCAACAATCCTCCAGATAAAATCGGTCACTCAGCCCACGGTTGTTGGTGGGATGCTGCTGGGTGCAAATTGGCTGCCGCATTCGCCTACAAATACACAGTCACTGCACTTTACAGAAAACCACATGAACGCATTAACATAATAACTTCCAAATGCAAATATTAATTATAATTATTATACGAAACAAGTGAGATAATGCACATCAGCCTCTAAGAGAGAGACTTGACAAGTCGGGGCTTTTTCACGTAAGGGGTTGGAGCTCACAATCCAGACGGATGGTCCAGTGCAGGACTGAGAACAAACATTGCATCGTCAGAGGTATCATCGTTTGGATGTAGCTCAGTGGTTAGAGCACTCGCTTTGCAAGCGAGAGACCTAAGTTCAATTCCAGGCAGAGGGCGAAACCTTGGGCAAGTTTCCTTACTCCACACAGAGCCTAATAATAATCCCTCCAAAAACCAAAAACAATAATAAATTGGTCATTTTCAATCTACGACTGTTTGTGGGACATTGCTGTGCGCAATTGGCTGCCGCGTTCGCCCACAAATATACAGTCAATTCACTTTACAGTGTGTTCTGTGAAGCGCTTCGGGACGTCCTCCCGACGTGAAAAGCGCTATATCAAATGCGAGGATTATTATTATTATTATTATTATAACGTGAATATTGAGAAGGGCATTGTGGTGGGATGGGGGAGGAGAAAGAGCTCCAACCCCACACTCGGGAACCAGTCAATGTATTAAGTACCATCAGGTAACTCATTTCAAACACCTGTTAATGAGCAACAAAGCTGTTAATTAACACATCACAATTTCCACTCCAGAGTTCCAGAAATCCTGCACTTACTATAAAATATAATCTGTGCATTAGATAGAGCATTATCACGTCGTCAACACATCTCAAAGTGCTTCACAGAGTTTTCCGAAACAGTGGTCAAATGGTGTGCATATTGTGAGGGATCTCTGGTTTGCTGCATAAGCTACACGCTCATACCACAACTCCCCAAATCAAGTTTCTGGCCTCCACGAGGGTATACGTGTCCACGAGGCCATTCTTATCCCCTCCCTGAGGCTGAAGAAAGGTAAAACTAATCATCGTCCTGGCATTTGATACAGTGCCTTTTCACATCATTGAAACATCTCAAAGCGCTTCACAATATTCATATAATACATAATAATAAACCTTGCATTTGATATAACACCATTTTTCTGTAAAGTGCAATGACTGTATTTCATAGGAAAACAAAATAGCCAATTTGTATACAGCAAATTCCCACAAACATTCATGAAGTGAATAACCAATTTTTTTTATTTGGGGTAATTCTTGGACAGGACAGCGGGAGAGAGAAACTTGCTTCTCTTTTCCAATAGTGTCATGCAATCCACCTAATCAGGCAAGGATAGGACCTTGGTTAACGTCTCATCTGAAGGATGGCCCCACCAACAATGCAACAACAACAAAATTACATTTATGTAGAGCCTTTCACATCAGGGGGACGTCCCAAGGCGCTGGACAGTCAGAGTTTCGGACCCAAGCAGGGGGTCAGAATCGGGAAGGGTGGAGGACGGGGGGAAGCAGGGTGATCGAATGCACGGTCGAACAGGAGGGTCTTGAGATGGGTCTTGAAGGAGGCAAGCGAGGGGGCGAGGTGGAGGGACTGCGGGATGGAGTTCCAGAGGTTTGGGGCAGAGTGGCAGAAGGCCCGCCCACCAATAATGGGGCGAGCGAGGCGGGGGACATACAGTAGTCCTGTAGCTCAGTGAGTAGAGCACTCGCTTTGCAAGCGAGAGACCTGAGTTCAATTCCAGGCAGAGGGCGAAACCTTGGGCAAGTTTCCTTACTCCACACAGAGCCTAATAATAATCCCTCCAAAACCAAAACCAATAATAAATTGGTCATTTTCAATCTACGACTGTTTGTGGGACATTGCTGTGCGCAATTGGCTGTCGTGTTCACCCACAAATATACAGTCAATTAACTTTACAGTGTGTTCTGTGAAGCGCTTTGGGACGTCCTCCCGACGTGAAAAGCGCTATATCAAATGCAAGGATTATTATTATTATTATTATAGGTCGGAGCCCGCTGATCGCAGGGAACGAACAGGATGATAGGGTGTTAGGAGGTCGCAGAGGTAGGGGGAAGCAAGACCACGTAGGGCTTTGAAGGTGAGGACCAGGATCTTGAACTGTATTTTCTGTGTGATGGGAAACCAGTGGAGTCGGGCGAGGATGGGGATTGATAGGGTCACGGAGCCTGGTGCGGGAGAGGACATGGGCTGCAGAGTTCTGGATGATCTGCAGCCTATGGAGGGATGAGCTGCAGCCTATGGAAGGATGAGCTGGGGAGGCTGACAAACAAGAGTTGCATAGTCAAGCCTCGATGTAATGAAGGCGTGTGTGAGGGTTTCGGCGGCCTGCGGTCTGAGACAGTGGCTGAGCCGGGTGATGTTGCAAAGGTGAGGGAAGGCAGAACGGATCATGGCACTGATGTGGGGGAGAAAGGATAGTTGAGGGTCAAACAAGACCCCAAGGTTCCGGACTGGCTTAGTGAGGTGGAGTGTGCAGCCGTGGATAGTGATGCTGTCAGTGCCTGAGGTGTGGAGGTGCTGACAGGAGCCAAACAGGAGAGCCTCGGTCTTGTTGACGTTCAACTGAAGAAAGTTACCTCTCATCCAGGACTTGATGTCCGACAGACATTCTGTCAGGACAGCAGTGGTCCTGGAGTCAAAGGTGGAGGCAGAGAGATAGAGTTGGGTGTCATCCGCATATATGTGGAAGTTGACCCCATATCTGCGGATGATGTCACCAAGAGGGAGCATATAGATATTGAAGAGGAGGGGACCAAGGACAGGTCCCTGAGGAACCCTGCACGAGACGGTGCGAGGCTAGAAGAGAAACCGTTTGTGGATGAAGCGTAGGCGGTGTGAGAGGTACGATCTGAACAACAACAAAATTACATTTATAGAGCGCCTTTCACATTGGGAGGACGTCCCAAGGCACTCGACAGTCAGGGGTCAGGACCCGAGTATGGGGGAGGGATGGCGTAGGGGTGAGGGAAGGCAGAGAGGTGGGAGGGCGCCTAAAGGCACGATCGCAGCAGAGAGGTCAAGAAGGACGAGGAGGCAGAGGGAGCCCTGGTCGCTGATGGACAGACTGTCACTTGTCACTTTGTTTCTGTGCTATAGGCCGATTGTAGAGGAATCCCGATTGTAGAGGTTCGTGAAGGGAGTAGTGGGAGATGAAGGAGCGAAGCTGGGAAACAATAACTCGTTCCAGGACTTTGGAGAGGAAAGGGAGGTTGGAGATGAGGCGGTAGTTTGGGAGTAGAAAAGGGTCCAGGGAGGGTTTTTTAAGGATAGGAGTGACAACGGCCGTTTTTAATGGGGTGGGAACAGTACCAGTGGACAGGGAGAGGTTTATGATGTCTGTGAATAGAGGAGCAAGGAGCTGGAGCTGGGAGGTCAGGAGAGGGGTAGGGATGGGGTCGAGGGAGCAGGTGGTCGGTTTCATGCGTGTTATAGTGGTGGTGAGAGAGGAGTGGGAGACAGGTTTGAAGGTGTGGAGGGAGGGATGGGTAGGGGCCTTGGTGGGAGGGGGAGATGGGGAGGGTGTAGCAGATGGAATGGCAGAGGCAGCAGAGCGGATCTCCTCGACTTTGGATTTGAGGAAGTCCAGCATCGCCCCGAGTTGGCATTTGAGGTGAGGATGGGCGAGGCATGAGAGGGTGGGCGGAGGAGCCGGGCAGTGATGGAGAAGAAGAGCCTGGAGTTGTCCTTGGCCTCCAGGATTGTCTTGGAGTAGAACTGACGATTTAGCGGAGGCGACGGTGGAGTGGTAAGACTTGCTAAGGTCCAGCCAGATATGCCGATGGACTGTTATGTTTGATTTAAGTCAGGTGCGTTCAGCGGCACGCATCTGTGCTTTAAGGGAACGGAGGTGGCTGGTGTACCATGGTGACTTTCATGAATGGGTGACGGTTCGGGAAGAGAGGGGAGCAAGAGAATCAAGATTGGAGGAAAGGGAGCTGTGAAGAGTGACCGAGGAGGATAGTTCATCGTGGGAGGAAGCCCAGAGGGGAAGGAGTTCAGATGAACCTGAGTTCAATTCCAGGCAGGGCGAAACCTTGGGCAAGTTTCCTTACTCCACACGCCTAATAATAATCCCTCCAAAACCAAAAACAATAATAAATTGGTCATTT